TCATCAACTTCAGATACTTTCTAGAACCCAGATTATGAAACTTCCAAACCTTTCCTTGTCGCTTGTCCCGTTCCTTGCAGATTATGAAAACGATAGTGTTCACACCTTCTTGGATGCTTAGATAGATCCGATGCCCATTTCAAGAGTTGTAAAATTCCAGTTTTGGCAAAGAATCACCACCCCGCCACTCTTAGTCCTGAAACACAACCCTTCACTCACTTCTCCCTCTTTTCCTTTCTCATTTTCTGCGCTTCTTCGTGCCTCCCCATGCTGGCATATATTTCTTTGGTGAGAGAAATTCTGCTATCTGATTCTTTGCTGATATCTTTATTGATATTGTTATAAAAGAGAAAAAAAAAAACAAAGAACTGCTACGTTTGTATATGTGTAATCATCTTAGAAAGCTTTATTGATGAGAACATAGATAAAAGAAAAGCAAGATTCCATAAAGATTGAAGCAAGATTCCATAAAGATTTCTTATCCTTTCTCCTGCTCAACTGCAAATGTTTCTGTCCATCATTCTTCTGCTTTGACGGCAACCAAACACCAGTTTTACACATTCTTGGTCTTATCACGTCGTTCCTTTTTGGAGAAGCATGAGAGCGATGATGTGAATCTATATTTTGCATGAATGGCTATGGGGACAAGGAAGGGGAGAGAGAGAGTCCTACAAAAGTAGAGACCAAACGATAGAACTTTAGCAGAACTCTTCTTTCTCTTCTTCCTTGTCTCCTAGCCTCTCATGGTTGCAGATCCAAAGAAAAGACTACAAGATATAAAAGAGAGGATAGATGGTAATATTTGGCATGAGTGGCTATGGGGATAGAGGAGGAGGAAGAGGGAGTCCTACGAAGAAGAACCCAAACGAGGGACTTAAGCAAGATTCCCTTCTTCGTCCCTCTCTATCTCCTAGCCTCTCATGGGAGGAGATCAAAAGAAAAAAAAAAATGCAGGGATGAAGTTTAAGGTTTGTAGGTATATATAGAGAGAGAGGATAGATGGTAATTAGGAAACTTAACAAATTTTTATTTAAGATTAAAAATTAAAAAAAAAATTATTGGATGTCTTTCCTTTTTTCTTATTGTGTGAAGGGGGTTTCATTGTGATAGACGAGAAAATGGAGAGATTTTCAGAGAGGAAACAGAGGGTTTGAGAGATGAACTCGGGGAGGAATAGAGAGACAGTTTTTATGCCGCCGTCGTTCTGAAGAAAGCTGCAGGAAAGTTATAATGCGTCCAATGAACGCACGCCACGTGTTTACGAGTCCTAGCCGTCTTCCACCTACGAGAAGACACGTATATCTGTTTGCACTCTGCCGCAAGATTTGGTCCACGTCGTCTGATGTTTTACCAAGAGTCACGTGGCTGGTCGAGGCAAGTTCTGTTCGTCCACGACCAACAAAAGCAAGGTCTTGTTGTGCAACCAGCTGAGCCAAGTTTAATGTGCGGAGTGATCGTCCTCTCAGGACCTTCTTTTTCACGCAGCTGATTGATAGACCTTTGTCCCATGACCAGCCGCTCCAACTCCATGGTTGGGTGGTGTTGCAACAAGTGATGGTCGTGCAACCAGGCCTTGGCATAGACTGATCGCATGACAATCAGGCCACGATAGATTAGGTACAGTGACCAACCAGATTTGCAGCCTTGCGTTTCCTATTTCAATGGTTTTCTTAATCAATTTTCTGAATGATTTCCATGTGCATATTTGCAACTTTTTCATGTCTCGACGACCTTGTGGAAGCTCTGCTGCAAACATGGCCTGCCGTCCATGTATATGAATGTGTGTAGGCATGCTTAACATAATTGGTAATCCGTCTGTGATGTTTATCCATTCCCGCCGTGTAGCATGTTCTAGAACATGGTAAACCCCATGAGGGTTCTGCAATCATTAGCAAGCTTGCTTCTAATGTTGTTGAAAAATTACTATAAAAAGACTCAATATATAGGATAGAGTTGAATACAAGTGAGTAACAAACAGTAACCTCTAAATGCAAGTAATAATAAAAGATGCATTTGAAAATTATGTTGTGCAAAAAATTCTTAAAACATGTGATGATCACAAGGCTGGAGTTGATTCTTTCTCGTATCAAGGTTCACATTACTGGTAATATTTGGCATGAGTGGCTATGGGGATAGGGGAGGAGGAGGAGGTGGAGGGAGTCCTACAAAGAAGAACCTAAATGAGGGACTTGAGCAAGACCACCTCTTCCACCTCCGCTATCTCCTAGCCTCTCATGGGAGGAGATCAAAAGAAAAAATTGCAGAGATGAATTTTAAGTTAAGGGTTTGTAGGTATATATATAATTTTCTTTATTATTAATTGATTAACAAGCAAGTAATTTAAAATTTTTATTTTTATTTAAGATTAAAATTACCCACAAACCAAGGCCACCTCACGGGAGGATCAGATTCTTCTTTAGTCAAGTACCTGAATCTATCAGGCATTGTACTCGCCAATCTCTCTGTCTCGTCAATCTCATCTCCAGTTCCATTGGTGGTTTCTGCTTTCTTCGAATTCAAACACAACCGAGATTTCCTACCCCTCAAAATCCTCGGAATTTTCTCGGACAGGCCGAGAAAGTTGCCGTTGAGCTTCTCGTTTAAGAATTCGACTGAAAAAGGGGGTTTCATTGTGATTGGGGGATGACAGACGAGAAAATGGGAAGATTTTCAGAGAGGAAACAGAGGGTTTGAGAGAGGAAACACAGCAAGTGCCGCCGTCGTTCTCGCGACGAACGCTTTTGCCCTGAAGAAAGCTGCAGTTTTTGTCCTAATTAATATTTATATAATTAAATTAATTAATTAATTAATATTAGTTGATACTCAAAAGAAAAAAAATCAAGTCAACTCAGCAAAGTTATAATTTGTCCAATAAACGCATGCCACGTGCTTACGAGTCCTAGGCTGCTTCCGCCAAGGGGAAGACACGTATATAAGGCAGACGGTAGCTCTCTGTCCATCTCTCTTCCTAAATTGTTCGACCTTTCTCATATTTACTTGTCCTCACGCCCTCATCTGGTTTTGCCTACTACAGCAATCCTCCTCTGCATTCCTCAGGTCGGTGTTCTTCTCTTTCGCTATTGAAATACGTTTCTTTGTGAAACTGAAGGATTCTGGATTTCTTCCGTGGTTTGAGGGTCACTGAGCGGGTTTAATGGTTGATAGATTAATCTTGAGTGAAGTTTTCAAGGTTTCTTTTACAATATCCTTGCGTTGATTTGTGATGATGAAATCTCTGTGCTTCGATTTTAATTTATTAGTAGCCACTTTCGAATCTTGCCTCACAATCAAGGATTGAAATTCCATCTCTCCATTCTTGGGTAAAGATTTCAAGTTTGAGCGTGATTGGTCGGGTTTAATGGTTGATAGATTAATCTTGACTGAAGTTTTCAAGTTTTCTTTTACTTCTCATTCTTTGTTATGCAAGATTTTAACAAATTCCTAATTATTTACAAAGATTTTGACGAATGTTTGTTTAACAAATTCCTAATTGTTTATAAAGGTTTTGACGAATGTTTGTTAGGTGTGTATTCCCATAATTGTCTGTGCATTATTTTACCTGACCATTTTGAGTTACAAGCGAAGGTAAGCCTTGTCTTGCAGATTTGCCCAAACAAAAAAACTGTCATGCTAATCATTGTTCTTTATATTTCTGCTCGCGGCACAGTCAACCCTGGCAACACGTTTATTGCTTTCTCTCAACTGTTTCAAATGTTCCTAATTGATAAGTTATGTTTTGAAATGATCAGCCATGTCAAGTGGGGCATCTTTAGTCATCTGACTAATTGCTTGACAGAATTTAGCAGTTCTCGTTTTCAAGAAGTTTCTGTAATAGAGTAATAGTATTATTTTATTTCCCTTTTCCTATTGCAACTGCCAGACTTTAAGTTGATCCAGTTGTGCTTCATTTATAATTTATGTAGAACCTCTTTATTATTGTGTTTGGCAGTTTCGATCTTTATCGGATCAGTTCTATCGTTCTCCCGATCACCTTAAGGTTGTGAGACAGCAGGTTGTTAACCAGGTGGGTCGCGATTTGGGCAATAAGCTTATTTCCTTATATGAATTTTGCTATATTTTGTTTTGTTAACATATTTGATTGATGCTTCTTTCTGTCAAATGTTTTGATGTAATCAGCTCAAGTCCCATCCAGAAATGTATGGGGCTTATGTTCCTATGAAATATGGTGACTATTTGAAGAAAATGAGCTGAGTATTTTCTCATTCTACTTTTTTTGTTCTCTTGCACTTTATTCTTTTTTAAAAAAAAAAAAAAAAACAAATATTAGCTTATTTCCGTAGCTTTTATCAAGCATTTCTCACGTTTATATTCCTATTTTATGTGGATGAAATAGGACTGGTGAACGGGGTGATCATGTCACATTGCAGGCAACTGCAGATTGGGTGTGTACCACCATATACCTTGTCTACTTTTCATTACCTTGCCCCATGTATTAGTTGATATATATTCTATTGAACTGATCTGTTATGTAAAAGTTCATTTTCATAAAAGCTTATCTGCTTTAAGGATTAGATAAGATGATGGTAGCATAATGGTAATTGTTTCCGAAGATAATTTGAGAGATCTTTATTTCTTATCTCCAAAAAAAAAGGAAAGATAACGGGAGAACTCCTTTATTTTAGTCGAGTAGAGAG